ATTGCCCATTCTGTGCCATGCTTTGCTGCATTAAATTCCTGAGTTTGGCTCAGAGATTTAAGTTTGTCACGGTAGGTGGTGAACAGTATAGATTAAACTGGCTTCCTTTGTTGTTAAGTTGTGCCCCTAAGAACTGCCTGTTCCTTGAAGTAACCAGTTCACATCATTTCAGTGAACAGCTGCATGGGGCCATGCTGTCTGAAGAGTTGTGCTGTAAATACTTCTTGTCGTGTTTCTCCTTACAATGGTTTCTCACTTCTGTCAGACTCGTGTAAGATAACTTTCCATGCTGCCTTTTTAAAATAGAAGCTAAACCAGGCAGGAACAGGGCATAATGAAAAGGCATTTTTACTGTGTTGGTTTGGTTGGTTTTCTGTTTTCWTTTGTTCAGATGGGATTCACTGTGGCTCTTCAGCCAGCGTGTTTCACCTCCAAAATCCCCAAAGACCCCATGAAATGAGTATCCRTGCATACCTTTCAGGACCACCTCCTTCCCTGGCAGGATTTAAGCCAGCAGYTGCTCAATTCAATATCCGTTCTTGATAGGAGGACCTTGAGAAAACCATATTTAGTTGAAATGGCAGAAAGATTGTTCAGACAAAATGTAGTTAYGAAATGTGGGAAGTCAACCATAAAACCGTGGATAATGTCATTGAGATGTTTTATGATCACAAAAGGTCAGAACAACTCAAGGGGAGTATGAGTTCCTTGTGTTTGGTTTAAGGAAATAAGTATTACATGTTACTCTTCAAAGTGAGTTTTATCTCACAGATTCTTACTTAAAATGGCTTTTTTTGTTATGCCTGGATTATAACTTAACTTTGCAATATGATATTATATAATTTAATATCTCGCTCTGGAACRTCTATACAGTCCTGGTTTGGAATTTCTTCTTAGAAGGTTTTGACTGTTGGTAAATCAGTTAGCACATTCTCCTAAAAAATCTAGTATGGATGCTTCATAATGTGTTTCCCAGTCATAGGGCTCAAATTGGGGTAAAAAGTTGTATCCTGGGAGATGGAGAAGGAATATGCTAAATGTAGCTAAATATGCTTGATGCCTGCCAGTTTTAAAACAAAGGGATGTGTATTGTGCCTGCCTCTGGTCACCAGGCATCTACTCCTCGGGAGGCTGAGCAAGTCAAAGCATTAAGAATGTTCATGTGAAATAAGAATAAAAGAAGTTAAAACCAACCTGTTTAGAAGAGTCTTGGTTCCTCTTTGAAATATGAAGTAGGCATCAAGAAGTCTGTTGCCCCTTTAATTCACTTATATTAAAACTTACTTCCTCAGTGTCACTGAGATGTTTTTTTAAAATGCTATTCCTGTAATTTGTGCAATGCAGGAATATATGTATACAAAAAGGCAAATCAGAACAAAATTTATGGTTGCAGTTGTCAGTTACACCAAGTTTATAAGTRATAACAGTACAAACCCATTCACCCAGGGTTTAGAATTCATTCTGCAGTCAATGGAGTACACACAAGTTACATAGCAAACATGGATTATGTCTTTTGGTATATTCTCTTGAAAGCAATTCAARATGCAGACATATAAATAATACAGATAATTCATTATTTTACCAATGACTCTAGAAATAGAAAATGTTTTTACTTGGTTGAAAACATCAGTAAAGCTTTCAAACAAAAAGAGCAGATGTCAAATATAAAGCACTTGGTTTACTGAGCAATGAGTATGATAAACATTGATTATTCATCTTGATGTTAGAGTTCAAAAACAATTGTCCCTTCAGTTTGCCTCATGGGAGTGTGAAATTAGGACCATGTGTGTGTTGATTARCAACATATGAAAGATGAATCATGATTACTGTTTTGGTCTGCTGCACAAGGCTGTGCTTGAGGGGTAGTGATTTCCTACCTCCTTTACCAGATCTCTGTAATTAGTGCTAGCATCTCTCTGTGTTTCCTAGTATTGATGTTYAAGTGGCTGCCTGACAGTGCCTATTCACCCACATAAATTGGCTTTCTTGAATGAAAGAGTGTTTGCTCAACAGAAAAACGTTGGAGTATGCTTCAATATTATTTGTAATAAAGATTAGTCATAGAACTATTCTGAAATCACCCATCCATTTCTATCACCAGTGCTATCTCTGGCAGGAATTGCCAGATGTAAAAGATAGATGGTACTTTAAAATATGAAACATTGTATGTTCTATGTTAAAAAAGAAGAGAGAAAAGTTCAACAAAAATCAAATACATTTTTCATTTAATTCTGTTGTATTTAATTTATGCCTCTGACAGCAGACATTAGTTAAATTTAACTTTTCTTGGAGGCACAATTAGTTCCTGTGGTTACAAATTTAAATTAACCTTTATGTCTGGATATTAATCCCGACCTTGTTCCTCTCTGGCCTAGTAATGTGTAAAAGATTTGTCATAAGTGCATTTCATTACTGAGCTATTACTATAAATGAAGGTTGGGTATTAGAAGAACATAAACAAAACCAGAGGTTAACTTCACATAATAGTCTTTGTCTTTTATTAATAATTGTGCTCTTTCATGTTGAAAGATGRAAGTTTAAATAAAATGAAATGCCTGTACATGCCTTGAACATCCAAGTGAGCTATTCATTCTTCAGGAGATGATGTCTGTTGGTCTTAGATCTGTGGTGACTTAAGATATCTTGGGATCTTAACCTTAATTATTCAGGCTGTTTATATGGATYGAGGAACAGATCCAACATTGACCTCTGTGATTTAAGGTAGGTGATGTGTGATGGAAARTCTTCCTGACTTCCTTCCCAATAGAGATACAGGATTTGGATTTTAGCTTGTCAAGTTTTCTGTGGAGCTCTGCTTTGAGCTCACATGATGTGAGATTTAATGTGGATAATGCCTCCTCTGCTCCCATGGCTTTTTGACAGATAAGGTTGTGATTTAATGTGTGTGCATTTCAACTTTGATTATCTGTTTGAAGATCTTCTGTCTAGAGTTCTTCAGAAAAGATGTTTTGGCTGTTTTCTTTCCTATGTGTTTCTTCTCAGTCCTGTGTATAGACATATGTAGACCACAGGGATTTTGTAGACAAAGCTCCAGGACACAAAGACTTGCTTTCTAGTAAAGTTCAGAATAAATTAAATTAAACAAATGTAAATTCAACAAATGTTCGTGGTTAATTAATGATAGAATCACGGAATGGTTTGTGTTGGAAGGAACCTTCAAGATCACCTACTCCCAACCCCCCTGCCATGGGCAGGGACAATTAGCCAAGAATGCAGAGCCCTGAGGCCATAACATTAGTATTTATAGGTTTAAAGTAAGATGCTCTAAACAAGTTCTCCTGGCTCTAAGCTATCTAAATAGCACAATTACTTTAATTCAAAACCAAGGGAATGCTTCCTAGATTAATACTAAAGTTTAGCCTGAAATTATCTGAGTAGCTTACATATTCTAACTTATTAATAATATAACAATTATCTTGTTCAATAGTTTAAGTTGACCCTAGTTCTCTCACTAATTACTGCAGCCTTTTTGTACCTTTTCTATATTTGGGAGTAAATTTTTGCAACCAGTAAGTCTTATATGCTGCATAAGTTCAGCTGAGTTTGGTCTATGTTATATCTTTTTTTTGCCTCTAAATTATCAATCATTGTGGCATATTGATTTGTACTTCTACTGTTACACGTTTTGTTTAATGTCACCATAGCCCTGGTAGAAATGCAGTTAAAGGTGTGGTGAAGTGTTGCCTTTTTTTTTAATATAGCATATAAAAATGCTATCTAATGAATTAAAATACACTAATTTTCTGTGGAGTTTGGTAAAATTTATGTCTCTCAAAACTTCAGCTCTAGGACAAAAGGAAGACAAGTATCAATTTGATGGTTAATCTCCCTTTCTAAATATGAAAAGTTAGTAGTTGCTTTTTTGGTGGTTTTTTAATCWAATAAATCATGTCTTTGTTTTGCTATAAGTTAAACGACATTTAATAGTTCAGAGAAACAGAAAGTGAGTCAGAATAGAACAGGTATTTATAGAAAAGTTACACCTGAAGAAGAARGACTCCTTCCTGTTTCAGGAAGCTTTTTTGTATAACATTTGGTTCAATGCCAAACTAAACCAAACCTAAACAAATGAAAAGGTACCTAAGAAGAAAGTGAGATTACAAATTTAACTGGTAACAATACTATCAAGGTCTGAGTTGCTTTCAGATTTTTAGGTAGTGCTTTACTTGTTTTTTTTAAAGTTAACAACTCCTACCTTGTTTTCCTCTGTGCGTACCTGTCTGTGTCTGACAGTGGAGGGATGCATAGTGAGTGCTCTGTGAGGATCCCCATAACATCTCATTACTGCTGCAGGCCTCTTACACAGTTGATTTTTGCTGTTTGCCCTGTAGCAGTGAACCCAGATAAAATTCTGTGTGATGTTGTTTGCTTTTCAGGGAATGACATTTTATAATAAGAATCAGTGTTCCAGTTTTCAACTCTGTGTCTTGTGGGGATGAGGGTGATGCTACATTTTGTTTCAAAACAATGTCAGTGTTTCTGAAGGGTAAGGTATTGCATGTCTGGGGTCCAGAGTTCTTTTCTGTAAGTGTAGAAGGGAATCAGCCTGGATTGCTCCCTGACACAGAGCAATTCTCTGGTTGGTCCTCAGTTTGCAGTATCTTTAATAGTATTTGCTAATAGAAAAGGGTGTCTGAGGTAGCACAATGGATTTCTGCAATGTCACTTTCGGAACTTCGGATTCTCTTTTTCATGGCTGTGGAGTGGAGGGTAATTTTGGCTGACATTCTCTTCTCTTGCACTGTTATCCCTGGAGAACCCAATTTGATTTGTCATTAAATCTTGATTAAAGGTGCGGGTTTTGTACAGGCACAATTAACCTAGATGGTGGAAGCTGAGAATATCACATMATTTTCTTCCAAAAATAAGCTTCTATGATTCCCATCTACTGGGAAGGACATACTACTTCAATCACAATTTCATATCTTCATGCAAGTATTATATTCTGACTTCCCTTTCCCTTTGGTTTTTCTCTGCAGGGGCTGTCATCAGTCATGAAGAACAATGGGCTACTCAACATCACCTTTAAATATGACAGTAAGTTGAAAATCTGCACTACATTCACAGAAATCAAAGACTCCATCACAGCTGTCAATATATAGCAACATATCTGTTAAAATGGCTCTAAAAATGKCATGAGCTCTTCAATATTGACATAATTTTAAAATCTAGATTTGTGTCTTCTGGTAGATCATCTCYTTCTGTATTTCACTGATAATAAAACTAACAATTTCTAGCAGTTTCTCTTTCAGATTGGCCTATATCATTTGCCCAGTATTGGACTGAAACTTTATAGGGAATTATTTTATTCTGTGACATAATGGAGTCACTGAAAGGTTCAGTTCACATGAACTCATAGGAAAGGAGCTTTATACAGCTTTTCTGTGATGTGTAATTTTGGGTGAAAATGGCATGAAGTGTATCTCAAAGTAGAAAACATGTACTTTGTATACAGTTTATATATTAAAAAAACGGTCTTTGCAAGGATTAATATTGATTATGAAAATTGAAGAATATTCTTAATTTAGTTGAATCAGTGGGAACTTTTCATTAGCTACAGTCTTAAAGGCCCAGGCCAATGGAAAACTGTCTRTGTTTGCAGTGCAGACAGATGGTTTTGGGGCTGTAGTGGATGTGGTGTTCTGCAGCTAAACCAAGAACAGAGTAATCTCTGGCATAATTACWGTGGTAAACAGGTTGCAGCAGTAATACTTCAGACCTCCTCAAACATCTGCTAAATGGCTGTATCTGCTTGTTGGGGGTTATTTTAGATGGTTTGGCATCTGTCTTGTGTAGTTGTCAAAGTRGGACTGTTGACTACATTAGGAATTTATCCTTATTTGGGCAGTCAGTGGCCATTATCAATATAAACTCAATGTAGAGTCAAGGAAAGGTCCTATTTTACAGCAGTAATGTTTGTTTTAATGCCAGTGCAAGTCATAGGTGGTTTTTTCTGCCTACCCAAAGAAATTACCTCAGATGCTGAATGCAGGTAAAATTTCATCATTGAGAACATTGCCAGGGATCCTAACAATAGTGATTTGTTTCATTCTGATCATCCTTTTGTTCTTCTGTTTTCATGTTAATTTCTGAATCTGCAGTCCTTCACTGTGAATTTTTGTAATCTAATTTGATTTTAATATTTAAATTAGCAAAATTTAAGTATGTCGGATTGCACAAGTTGTAGGTGGTCTCTACAAAAGAGGTATGGTTTTTTTTTCAATCTACATAAAGAAAACCAGGAAGTAATACCAGTCAGAGCAGAGATCCCCACATTTAGTTAACACAATGACTCTGTTTAATTCCCAGTATGTGTCATGTTTTTTTCCATTAATTCTGGCACCATAAACTGTGTTTAACCAATGAGAAGTATTAATTCACAATTCTACTGGCACTGTGTGCTTCCTGGACAAAGGAGTTATTKGAGTTCTGCAGGTCTAGGAACAAAGTTTGCTGATATGAAGACTAAAGAGCTTACRTAGTATGGAAATACATATTTAACTTTAATAAGCCAGCACAAAAGAAAATTTGGCTTGCTGGCTGTAATTTAAAGGCTTTTATTTTGCCACACATCARCTCTAGCAAACTGTGTTTTGTGTTGATAAATTAGTTGGTTACATTATTTATTCAGGTGAAAAAGAAATGTTTGTATTTTATAGTATGTCACTTGYATTCAAGTAAAAGAAGTGGTTTCCTAAAATGTGTGATTTTTCCATGCTGTTTTCTTCCTAAAACTGTTGTTCTTTAAGACTGTGAATCAGTGACTTGCAGTCAAACTTCAGGCATTTGTGCTGTGTTCCATTTTGGCAAATTGTCATTTGACCATAAAATTCTAGTAACCAGGATCCAAAATTTTGGGYTTACTATTAATTAGATCCAGACCCAGCAAAAACCAGTTACTTCAGACTTTCCATTGAAAGAGATCCTCTCTCCTCCTCAGAGGAAGTTCATGCTGTCACTGAGTTCACTCATAGCAACCGAATTCTACAAACAGCGGTGTCACTACCAACAACCCAGCTTTAGTAAAAGRCACTGTTGTACAGACTGTTCTATTCTTGTGTCTGTGACAGTCATATAAAAGATCCTTTGCCATGGTTATTCATAGTAAAAAGCCATTTTCTAAATCTCCTTTACAGTTAATAATTTTTCTCTCCTTGCCTTTAAGATTACACCTCTGAAGTAAATTGAAATTTCCTGTACTGGTGTATCGCACTTGATTTTTCATGTTTCTTTTCTACAAGCTTGACAAGTACGGATGAATATATACCTTATAAATGATCTCAGTTTTTTGTACAATCTACTGATCAATTTCTCCTGGATTTTGTTGGTTCCACTGCTTCAGAAACAGAATGTTTGTTTTTGCACACCCATCTTCATGTATACTGTGCTCCAGAACTAGTGAATTCCCTGCCTGCTACTTCTCTTCCTGACACAAAATATGAGCTTAAATTTTGAAAAGCTCTAAAAGTAATACAATTTGGGGTTTTGAAAGCAAAACAACATGGTAAAGTTGAACAACAAACGACAAAGTCAGGAATCTTTTGCTGATGTTTTGATTTTTTCTGTAATCAAATCTGTGGAGCTGTAACTTTAGGGAATACACTGCATTTTATGAGGATAACAAGACAAAACCAGTCCTGAGTGAATCCAGTGGCAGTAAAATGGTCTGCAGGGATATGGCTACAGAATGGACAGTAGAGGAGAGATGGATTTAGGCAGCTGGTTCTTTGTGTTCAGGAACAAGCAGTATTGTGGTTAAAAAGCTCTTCTGAGCACCATTCTCGAGCTTCACATGGTTTATTGTTCTCATGTGTTCCTGATCATTTTGCAACATTCTCTTGCTTTGAGCTTTGTAAATGAAGAAAATTAATGTCAGTCTTCATATTCTTCTGAACAATTACAAGGAGAAGTTGTTCTCTTCTGGGAGTCCCAACATGTGCCATGTAGCACTGGTTGCTCTGGTGGTATAAACTGGTAATTTCCTTGGGAATCTTGTGAACTAGGGGTTGGCAGCCAGTGCAAGTGGTACTGCTCAGTGATTTGTAAAGTTTTGTGGGTTTTGTGTCTTGAAGCAAAAACTTCATGTATATTTACTATATAGTACTTACAGAAAATAGTGCAATTTTACTTTGCTCAGTCTTGAAGAAATGTTAGGGAATTTATGTCAGCTAGACTGTTTTTCATGAAGTGTTTATTTGTCCGTATTTTTAGACTGCACTCCTTACCTGAATTCAGTGGGAAGACAYGTGATTGGAGATGTGCAGAACATCACTATCAGTCAGTTTGCATGCCAGGAGCAGGTGGCTGTGATGATCCTTTGGACAGCAAATGCCATTGGTAAGTTCTAGAGAGAAATAGACTTATTGGTCATGGATTTGGTAATGACTTCCTGCTCTTTCAGTATTAAAAATAATTAAATTATGCTTGGAATCATTGATGCTAACTGCCTAAGAAGAAAGGAATTCTTTACGTGTTTGCAAAGCTCCTAATTTTACTGGCTTCAAAAATATCCTTAAAACTAGGATGCTCTCTGCAGCCAAACACTGCTTTTTACTATCCCAGTTTATTGAATTCCTTCTCTTCAAAACTCTACAATTGTCCCTGGTTTCATTTTCTGCCCTAAGGCCTTAGTGYATTTCAGTGGCATTGATTAAGTTAATTCCTGGTACACTTAAAGGTTCTTGGGGAGGCAGAATATCTCACAGGTGGAAAACATTATCTAATCACAGCTATACAAACTTCAATGTGTTTCCTTGCCAGGCCTGGTCRTTAAGAGTATTCCTCCATTAGTTCAGTGTCAATGGAAGTACCTTGTTGCCAACTAGAGCAGTAGTGCCCAAAAATTGAGGATGTGCAGAAATATATTTCCAATGAGAAACTTATTTCTGGACTTTGAAAGAAAGGTRTGAAAATTCCACTGAATTCTGCAGAACTGTGCAGTTGAAAGCATTTGGTAATCTTCAGCTGCAGAYTGCATGAATCAAACATCCATGGGAAACAAAGCCTGGTGTTCTTCCTTGTAATCATCAGAGGTTAATCCTTTGGAAAGTGTGAGGACAGAGCTGCTGCTCAGACATCTCGGGTAACATGGGAACTGGACACTTTCTCCTTCAGGGTTTTCATGTAAGGACAAATAGTGCTTTTGTTCCATGGAATACTAAGAACACATTTGGCAGCATTTTATCTYCTACAAAATTATAAAACATTAATCAAAACACAAATCCGTGAAAACTAGTGAACCAGAGAAAATGGTGGAAAATGTGGAAATTATACATTTGGGATTTTATTTTTTGGTTAGACAAGCGCAGCATAAACTGAAATTAGTCCTTTTTGATTTATGCAGCATTGAGCTTACAGAAGCTGTGCCTGTGTCTTTGATAAATATGTGCATTGCTGTTGAAGAGATGGAGTAGTGAGAGTTGGTCTGGAGGGGCTGTGCAATGCCTTTGATAYCAGAGCCACAAACTGTCACAGGGTTACACYRGCATTTTCCTGGGATATTCACATCACTGGGACTCAGTTTAGTCATTTCATGAAGTAATTCTGTACTGGGAACATTGTAAAGACACTGTGCTGAGAGAAGTTGGGTTAGAGTAACTTGAACAAAATGGGTGTAGTTCTGGCAGCAGTTATAAATAACTGGAAGTATATATGTACTGGAATAAATTCCATTCCATTTAAGTCAAGTTTTCTGTTATCCCTTACTGTACTAGAACTAAAGAAGTTGTAGCAATTATTATCACTTTAATCTTGTAGTCTCAGGGATGATAGTAAAATCTTATAAAGGAATATTTCTGTAATTGCCAGCAAAATACTGTATTTAATTGCTAATAATGGAAATGTGAAATTACTCTAAAATATTTCTGAGGGTGAAGAAGGTACTGATAATTATATTGCAGTGMTAATTTGCAAACCCCAGATGAGACATGGGCCCCTCTCCCCTCTGTTCTAACCCTTACACAACTATGTAGTGATTGCAGCCTTTGTCAAAGACTGAATTCTAGATAGGCAATATAGAATATGCAGGAAGAGCTGACATACAACAGGAATTAAATACAAACATATTTCATATGACTGGTAAGTTTTTATTTTTAAAGACAAATGAAATATATTCAAATTGCATAAAATACCACATTATGGTTTTGAAATATTAATCTTCTGTTTAAATGCCCTGCCTGTTTATAGGGATTGAGTACYTGAAGGGATTTCGAGTAATACTAGAGGAGTTAAAATCAGAGGGAAGACAATGCCAGCAGATGGTTTTAAAAGATCCAAAGCAGCTCAGTCCCAGTTTTAAACGAATAGTAAGTGCTTTGTTTCATGAAAAATTTCCGTGTTGTTTGACTATGTGAGTAGTCTTGAAAGTGTTTATCATCACAGAATGGTTTGGGTTGGAAGGGGCATCGAAGATCATCCAGTTCCAGCCCCTCTGCCATGGGCAGGGACAGCTCCCACTGCCCCAGGCTGCTCCAAGCCCTGTCCAGCCTTGAGCACTTGGGGGGATGGGGCATCCTCAGTTTCTCTGGGTAACCGATGGCAGGGCCCCACTTCTTTGACACTGAAGAATTTCTTCYCAGTATCCAATCTAACCCTGTCCTCTTTCAGTTCGATTCCCCCTTGTCCCATAGCTCCATACCCTTGTCAAATGGTTGGTTCCCAAAAGTATAGTTATTGAAATTAATGATAGATGTTGCTTTAGAAACCGACCTTGTCCCTTTTGATASAACCTTTCCTGAAGTTGGGAACTGTCATTTTGGTGACTCTGGAGTACAGATGGACTTGTGTAATAGTCTACATCCAGCTATGTATTGAGATTCYTCATGTCAGTTTGGAATAGAGGGGTAGAAAAAGGATTCTTGATGTATTTATTTCAGCCTTTGATTACAAAATCATGGGCTTGCTTTGAAAAATACTTTCAGYTGTAATTGATTTTAAAATACTTTGCAATATTGTCTTTTTTGTAGGGAATGGAGTCCCAGCCCTTTGTAAATTTGAAGTTTGAAACAGATTACTTTGTAAAGATTGTACCTTTTCCTTCCGTTAAAAATGAAAGTAATTATCACCCATTTTTCTTCCGAACTAGATGTAAGTACTGCATCTAATACAGTGTTGTATATAATATAATATTGCATATAATCTCTTCAGCTGGCTTCCCATCCGCCTGACTTTCTGGTTTTCCCAACACAGAAATRYAGTGGATGATGGTGTTAGWTGACTCTGGGTTAAGTAGTTCCTGACATTGTCTTGGAAGKAAGATCTGAGTGTTAAGCAGAAAGAATTTGCATRCCAGAGATRAATCTGTGGGGTGTGATCATATGTRTTATGCAGCAACCAGAAGAAAAGTCTCAGGTAGGCCTGAGRTTACCTCAGGCTTGCCCAYAGCAGGGTTGTTCCTGTGGTTCTCRGGATCATTTAACTCATGAAGATGGTGTAGTCCTCTCTGGACATTGTGGAGAAGGACAGKTTGTTTTTCTTTTTGAGATAAGAATTTTAAAACAACTATCCCTTAGATGTAGGGAAAGACATTTAAAGTTTGATAGCAGCTGATCAAGTTGAGTTTCTCAAAATTACTTAGCACTTCTTCTTGGAAGTAGAGAGAAGAAACTTAAATAAGCTCAGTGCTCACATGGTATTGGGGTATATGGGGAGGAACTGCAAGTACCCTTTGGGGTGAACTATTGATATTTGTCCTGCTGAGAGGTTTTCTTACCTATAAAACTTCTTAAAGTATTTTCAAGTCTGTCTGTTACTGAAGACTGCAGTAATATTTGTAGTAGTGCTCAGCATATTTACTTAATCTGAGTAAATGTATTTTGAGTTTTGACTTCCTCTCCTGATCTGCTATGCCTGGTGTTATCCCTTTTGTCTCACTAAGAAATGTGATTTTCAAATTAATGAATCTCTGTTTCTCATRTAAAAATGAGAAGGGACTTGAAATCATAACAAAGAAGTTAAGTTTGCAAATTGTATTTAGAAAAGGGATTTTAGAGTCTGGGAAAGAAGTAGGTGTATTCAAAATAATGAACTCCCTATTTTTGCTCTCATTCTTTTTCTGTTTAAATAGTATAGCAGTTTGACACAGTATAATTGATAATTTTTCTGTTCATTTGTAGCATGTGAATTATTGCTACAGCCAGAAAACCTTGTCTGCAAACCTTGTAAGTAAAATGTTATATTTTTTTATATTAATCTTACAAAAAGTTACTGTACTTGGAGAKTCATTTTGTGATTCCTGAATATTTCCTCTGACAGACTGGAAGCCAAGGACTGTGAATGTTACCCAGCAAGGTTTTAACATGCAGGTGTCCTTTGATCATGCACCTCACAACTTTGGGTTTAGGTACTACTTTCTTCACTACAAACTTAAGCATGAAGGGCTGTTTAAGCAAAAGACTTGCAAACAGGTACGTGGCTGAGTTTTGCAGCTCTTAAAAGCACAAAACCTATTAACATGARGTGTTCTAAGGTCTTGTAGAAATGTTAAAAACTTAYTATAAAATAGTAAAAATATAAAACMGTATCAGTTTTAAAATCRTAAAAGTTTTTGAAACTATTTATGTAAACAACTGTTGTACTGTGATAGCACTCATCAGTCAAAACCAGGCTTGAGGGCTGCATTGGACCTGGATAAACAAATAGTTCTGCAGGCAGAGGACTCTGTAATTGAATGGGGAAACTTAGTTTTGCTGGTTTAAGGTGTGTTAATACCAGAGTGCACTGCTAAATCTATGTGAATTCTTTATTAGGTTTTAAAAGTATGTGAATGAATTGCAAAGTTTTCTTTCTTTCTTCTAGGAACAGAACACAGACACTACAAGTTGTGTTCTTCAGAACGTATCTCCAGGGGATTATATAATTGAGGTAATATTTCTAAATAGTCTTTGGTAAAACACCTRAGTGAGGATGTTAATGGGAAAATGGAGTAAAATTAAAGCATTTCAAATCACACTCTGGTGGAATTGAACTTCAGGCATCCCYGCTGAAGTAACTTGGGCAAGTAAATTTTTCAGAATGTTCTTGACCTTTCCATAGCTTTGCTTCCCAGAGTGCACAGCACTTTGATCTGTGCCTTAAATTGAACTTGTGGGCCTGAATAATTCCTGAGCTTTGATTTTTTTCTTTTAGATTGGAATTCTGTTGCTTGGTCAATTTTTGTTATACTAGTTTGTGCTGCTCTTTAGTTTTACCTTTTTTGAGGAGTAACTTCCTTCACATTTGTTAATAAAAGTTGTTATAATTATTACATATTGCAGAAAATAAAATTAATCTTTTGCTTTTCCAAGCTGGTTGATGACACTAATACAACAAGGAARACAATGCACTATGCACTAAAACCAGGTATGAGTTCTGTTTCTTAAACAATATACTATATTTGCCTTATTAATTTAGATCCAGTTTTAATTATGTCRGAAATAAGTCTCTAATTGACCTTTGCTTGCCGTTATCTAGATGATTGAGGTAATTGTGCTGTGATTTTTTTTTACCTAATGGTAAAAGAGTTGATGTACACACTTTGACATGTGCATCTCTGTATTTGTATTTACTGGAGTTTAGATTAATACATCATTGGAAATCTTTGTGGGAAAGTGACTTTTGTAATATATGTGGGTATGAGGAATTAGAACTTTAATTGCACACAATTGATAGTGCAGTAGTGTGGAAAGTGTGTAATGAAACTGTGGGAGCAGCCTGAGCGCATCACCCGTGTCCTTCAGCCCAGGTATCAAACCAAGCAATCTGGAGAACCTGTCAGGTGAATGCTTCACGTGCCCATGTACCAGACCCATTTTTGAGAAGCTAAACAGGGATTTCAGAGTGCAACTGCAGGCTCAAAACAGCTCCAGATGGAGGCAATGGGCAGAATGCACTGAGTCCTAATGCACGTTGGCAAGGGTGGTCTCTTCATTAGGACAGTTCTTCCCAAGTGGCAACTTCAGCACTCTGGAACCAAAATGTGTCAGATCCAAGTGACCATTGCATATCYCATCAAAAGCACACCTGACCCAGGGCTGTTCTCCTGGGCTGTTGTGAGCTGTTRCTTGTGCAAGTCACTCTGATGCTGTGGCATTGGGGCACCACCATGAAAAGCYTATTTGAAATGGAGCAGAACATGATGGTTGAGCCCACTCTGTCTTTGAGAATTACCTGGTAACAGTGTACTGCAGCAGTTTTGCATTCCCAGGGTGAAGATTTGTTTAGATAATTGTAATGCAGCTTATTTGCATGTGGCTAATTCTGCTTTCTTTTGCCAAGTGCACTCTCCGTGGGCCGGCCCGATCCGAGCTATTGCCATCACAGTCCCCTTGGTTGTCATCTCTGCTTTTGCCACACTTTTCACAGTGATGTGCCGCAAGAAACAGCAAGGTAAGGGGGTTTATCCACTACAGAGTTCTATTTAAGGACATCCTTTTGCAACCAAAACTGTCTTAATTGGTAGGTTAATTCCAGAAGTACCTTTATCTGAACAGCTTTCTTTTTTAGTTCTCCTGCCTCCCTTCATCTTTTTTGTTTGGTGAAACTGGTAGCAAATTCTTAATCAGTGCTTGATAGTAATTTGTTGTCAAGACAGTATTGTATCACAGATCAAGACTACACTGTAGAAAGAAGAGAGCAAAACCAATACTGGAAAGTATTTTTTATTTCATGTCTCTTTTTATTTGAGAAAGCACTACGTAACCATGTAGATTACAAACAGATTTGTAAATGGATATGTTTTAAATATTCCCTTATTTCACTCAGAAATATCTAATTCATATTTATTTTAAATCAGAAGGAGAGTAAAGCCATGTGATGCCAATACAATTCACAGTGCTGTCTGGAATACTATCTACAGCWACTATTCCAGATTTGCTCACTTTCCTGGAAGTTGCCTTTACCTTTCATTCTAAGCCATCTTCCTAAATTTACTCTTTCTAAAACCTSCTTGCAGATGTTTTTCTAACTTAGATTCCATCCCTCCTTGCTGACTTCTCCCTATCCAGGAGCTGGCAAGCGACACTTGATACATTGAGATGTTAAAAATCCATTGGCTTTTAAACAGAATTCAGAGRATCATGTGGTTTCATGAATAATGGAAAAAGATATTACTTCTCCAAACCTCACATATCTGTGTTATCCACCTGAATTTTGGCACTGAGATATACTGCAAGTGCCATGCGCCAGCTGGGTTAAATCCTTTTACCTTCTGGTCTTCTGTAGTTATCCCTTTGCTCACAGCTAGCACAGTTCCAACAAAAAAAACAGACAAATCACTGAGGATTTGTGTACAGAGGGTTGTTCCAGAATAGTTATTCCTGATGAATTGTTCTGAATTAAATCCCTAGATGGATATTAATATTTTGAAATACTCATGCTTTATTCCAAATTAGCTTAATCAGCTGTAGAACTAGATTGAATTAGTCTGGCATAAGGCCAGACTTTCATGTTCCAGCATAAAAGCATCTATGCAAGGAAAGAAACACTAAATTAATAATATCTTATTGCAAATTAATGTCAAATTAATGTCCAAACACGGGTGTGTATATTTACACTAGAGGGATCCTGTATGATATCCTGAAAGGGTCTGTGGACCTGGAGTTTAATATTCTTACCTGGCTTATGTTGTGGTTTGGGGTTTTTTTAAACGAGACTTTGTTAGACAGGAAACTCTTGAAGATGATACATCTTTTGGGCTTACAATATTTGGACAGGGATTTGAAGACTGTTGGAACYGGATAAAGGTGAAACAGCCTCATTTTATTTATAAAATAAACCTTCCTTGTGTTTTCTGAGTTGGACAGAAATAAATGCACATTTAATTTTGAAAGTGTGTTCCACATGCAGCAGCTCATAGGCTGATAAATAAGAGTGTGTGCAACTTTTTCAGGCTGGAGAGGAAAATATTCAGAAAAAAAATCATTGCTGTATGCATTAGTAAAGAGYCTACAAAAGTTCTAAAAAGCCAAAACAAAATCAAGCTTTATGGTGTGAACTCTCTTTTCTCTTCCAATTTAGAAAATATATATTCCCATCTAGACGAGGAGAGCTCGGAATCTTCAGCGTATGCTGCAGGTCTGCATGTGGAAAGACTCCGTCCCCGGCCAAAAGTGTTCATCTGCTATTCCAGTAAAGATTGCCAGAAACACATTAATGTCATCCAATGCTTTGCTTATTTTCTTCAGGACTTCTGTGGCTGTGAGGTAAACCCAACATTTCATATGTAAACAACTTTCCTTTATTGAAACAGCACCAACAAAACTGTGTGTGAGCATTAGGTATTTCAGTCTCTCCACAGAGACAACTTCTGTTATTTTTCTAAATATTGGCTGTATAAATTTTCTTTACTTGGGGAAATGAGCAGTTCTTATCCAGTGTGAAAAAACAAAACAAAACAACYCAACAGAATAGTGGAAAATCATGATTCCAGTACTTTCATTTAGTTATATTTAGTTGTTTTATATTAAGTGCTTTTTCTGTTCAGTAGGTCTTGCATCTCTATGGTCAGCAGCAACAAAGAGATATTGTTGTCTGATATACTTCAGTATTCCTAAAATATGTTTTGTACTGTGACTTAAAAGAAGTCGAATGTATGAAGACTTCTACTCACAGAGCAAAAACTGCATGATTAGGATTACTTGTTAACAGTATGTACTTACTAATCRATTTTTATTTTTTACTTCCCTTCTGTTCCATTAATACTGTAAAATCAGCAAATCTTTTTTTCCTTGTTTTTATTTGAAAGCTATGAGAGAGACATTCAAATTGCTACTCTGAATGAGTAGGTTTGGAATCTCATACTGCTTTTTAAAATAGAATCAGTGTGTGGCCAGCCCTCCACTATTCAGCTGGAAAAAGGCAGCACAATCGTTGGTCTCTTTGTGCTGCATTTTTCCTCCCACCTGCGGGATGTGAGCGGGAGCTGGTTTTCATTACAGCGACTCTGCCATCTGGTGACAAAACACAAAAACACAACCGAGGCCTCGCCTGTTTGCTGGGGATGGTCACAACTTTTTCGAAATAGTTCAGGATAAAGTGTTTTAAGAGGAACTTATTTGAAACCCCTTTTAGAGATGTACTTYAGCCCTGCTACACTGCTTCTCTTTGGAATGGTGTTGGAGTGAGCTATTACTGCTCTGTGTACTATGGAATAAATGATCTGCTATGAAGATGTAGCAATTTTCAGGAGTCTTTGAGTTCTGGACATCCACCTACTCTATCTTCTGATAGATAGGTCAAAGTTTTCCACTCTGCTATGGGTGATACAGCTGAGCAAAAATCTTTGTTCTCTGGAAAAAAGTTTCAAAGAAGATTTTATAAGTGTTTGTGATGTGTCTATTATGCAAGTTTTTTGCATCTATTTTTTTCTCATTCCTCCTCTGAGATAAGGCATTTAATCCCTTATCTTGGTGTACACAAGCATTTCAGATCATGTAGAACGGTCAGAAAGCTTGACAAAGTACAAAATAAAATAACTTACTTATCAGATAAGGCTGCTTCTGTTTTGCATTCTAACTGGAACGCCTTGGCATTATAGGCTCTAATTAGGTTTCTATCTAGATATGAAAATTCTTGGCATCACAATTCATTAATATGCAAAGGATGATAAGTGAATATGGCACTTAGGGGCAGGGTTGAGTGGCAGACTTGGCAGTGCTGGGTAAATGGTTGGACTTGATCTTAAAGGTCTTTCTCAATCTAAACAATTCTATTATTCTGTTGTTTTCATTATATTCAGCACATTATAGACCCAGACGTACAATGGTAAATTGTTTGAGGCAGGCACAATTGTTTATTATGGATTGATAATATCAAATTTGATTACATAAGTAAATTGTAGTTTATTTGATCCATCCACATTTCTGTGTTCTTTTTATTCCCCAAGAAATATTGCCATGGGTCAAATCCATAGAGCTTTTGTTTCTTGAGGARCTACTTGGGTTTACATTCATGCAAGTTACTATCAACCAGAATTTTTTTTTTTCTTTTCCAGGTGGCTTTAGATTTGTGGGAAGATCTAAAAAACTGTAAAGAAGATCAGAAGGAGTGGCTTATTAARAAAATAAATGAGTCCCAGTTTATCATCATTGTTTGTTCCAAAGGAATGAAATACTTTGTTGAAAAAAAGAACTGGAAGCACAGAGGAGTAACCAAAGATGCAGGAAAAGGAGAACTGTTTCTCTTTGCTGTGATGACTGTTGCAGAGAAGCTTCGKCAGGCAAAGCAGAATTCAGCTGACCTCTGCAAGTTCATTGCAGTCTACTTTGATTATTCCTGTGARGGAGACATCCCTGCTATTCTGGATCTCAGCACAAAATACAAACTCATGGACAATCTCCCCCAGCTGTATTCACACCTRCACTCCAGAGATCTCAGTGTACAGGATTCAGAGGTGTTTCCTGTTAACATTAGTAAAAGAAATTATTTCAGGAGCAAATCTGGAAGGTCCCTTTATGTTGCTATTTGCAATATGCATCAGTTCATTGATCAGGAACCAGAYTGGTTTGAGAAACAATTTATTCCCTTCCCTCCACCTTCTTTACATTACTCGGAGCCTGTCATGGAAAAATTTGATTCAGGCTTGGTTTTGAATGACTTAGTGAATAAACAGGTGACRGATGGTGATTTTTACCTGAAAACAGATGTAAATATTTCAGTGGGGAATTCAGACTCTCACTGTATAATTCAGCACTTAAACCTTGGAGAAGATATAGAAACTCAGGACATTCAAGGTGGTGGCAGCTCTGTCCTTCAGCCATTGTTACATGTTGTTAAAGCTTCAAATCTGAAAGACATGCCTCGAGATTCTGGAATCTATGATTCATCTGTTCCTTCGTCTGAATTATCTTTACCTTTAATGGAAGGACTGTTGACAGACCAAATGGAAACGTCTTCCATTACAGGAAGTGTTTCTTCATCATCAGGTTTAGGTAAGATGCAGARGTGTTTCAAAGCTTAAATTCAGTTACTGTGTGAGCATATTTCTGCAGTCTCCAAATAGGTAAGGTAATACATGAGGATCCATATAGAAAGCTGCAGAGAAAGGTAAGACTTGTATAAATATGGTAAAACAATTACAGTAACTTTGGAAAAATGAATTTTTTCTTAACTTACAGTGTGTGGAGGAAATCTTAGCTAGGTAAGGTTTCACTAAAATTCTATTAATAAGTCACTGCTCATTAATTGGCCTATTCTTGGAGAGATAGCTTCTTTCTTCCAGGGACYCCTTGGCAGCTGGGATTTCAGCTGACAGCTGTGTGGTGTAATCAAGAGGGTGATATGGTGAAGCATTCTCACAGCCAGCCATAAATCTAAACCTGACATCCTATTTTGCTCCAGCACATATTGGATCCTTTAGGGGTATCRTCTGTACTGTGGTTAACTCAAGTTTCAGGATGACATCAGGCTTTTCACCAGATATGGGGCTGGGGAATGAACAAATGGTTTTCAGTGGAGGAATGTAAATGCTTTGAAGATGCTCTCCAGAATAGATACCCAGCTTAGATACCTCCAGCTAGAAGATGTAAATTTGCCTCAGGCTATATAAAAAAACTGATCTGACCTTGCTACTTCCAGGATATAGAACTGGCATCACAAGTACATCCACAAGTGTGGAATGTTCCAGCAATTGTGTATGATAAAATAGCTCTTTGCTGAGATTTTCCTTAGGCGGCTACAACAGGTGAACATTGCATTTTGATGGTAGTATGCTGTTCTGCTTTCTGGAATGAATGTTGACAGGGAGTTAACTATACTTTTCTCTTGGCTAAATGAATTTTTTATTATTATTAACATAATTCATAACTAATGCTTGATGCCGAATTTATCTTGGAGGAAATGTTAATTTATGGATACAACATCTGTATTTATCAGCTAGATAGTMTATAGGACTGAATAGTTAAAACCTGAAAAAAACTACAGGTGGAATAAAATACAGATTTACTGATTTCACTACTTAAACCACAATTACTCTGATTGCAAAATTAAAACTGTATCCTTTGAAGTTTCCTGCCATCTTCTAACTTAGCCTTTTCTCTCGTTTGAGGAAAAAAATTACAGATGATCTCTCTCTCTCTAAAGGTTCTGGTGACAGGAGGATGCTAGTTTAAAATGTATGGCCTCCCTGTAAGAATGCTCTCCCAGTGTTCCCCTCCTGATTCAATTACTGAGCTGTCAGCTGGGTATCCCAGCTGCAGGGAGGCACTGGAAGAAAGAGGCAGTCTTTCCAGTAATTAATTCTCCAGTCACATACCTCCTCATTAACACACTTCAGCTGTAGGGGTTAAATGTTGGAGCTCTCGCTGGTAGAGCTGGATTTTATTGCTGATATTCCAATGCCTTAAAAAAAAACACAATAATTTCTGCCATTTTCATATTTACTGTCCTCATCCAAAAGCACAGTCTTGACTGACTCTCCCCCAAATCACAGTCCTAATGAGGTACAGGGTACAAAGGAGACAGTATCTASAACTGCCTTTTGAAGTGCAACCCATTAAAATTTCTTTACTGTCCCAGACRTACAAAACATTTRTAGCCCTGATATTTATCTGCCTGAYAATGAGAGGAATAAATAAATTTTTWAACTTTTTATTCTTGTTCTGAAATATGGAYACATCCAAATTATTACTCTGAATTCACAGCATTTCTGAGTTTTGCTTGTTTTCTGTTCATTACTTGGTCAGAACAGATAGATATAACTCTCGTTTAGCATCTCAAAGTAGATCTTTCCTTTCTTCCTTAAAGGACAGTTAGATATAATCTTCTGAATTAAAACCATARATCACACAATTTTTATAATCCTTTCTATCTTTCAGTGCAGTTCCTGTGCAGACTATTGGTCTGCAAATGAAAAATTCCAAAGAGATCGTAATTTTTGACATCCTCAACTGAAGTTCAAACCAGTTTAATTTTGAGGAAGTACCAACAACCAAACCTTTACAAGGTCCATTCACTAATAAGGTCTTCCCTAAGAAGTTGTGCCTGGGGAGAAAAATAGTGTTGTTTCTTTAGATAAGGTTTTACTGAGCATGGTAGTTCAGCCCCTGGGGTGTATAGCAAGATGGTGCAGAGAGTTTTCATAAGTTCTCTTTGCTTTGTTTCTGAAATGTTTACCAAGTACAAAATCAGTGTTTCAATTAATGAACTTCACTTCTTTTTTTTTTTCCTTTTCTAGGGGAAGAAGAACCTCCTGTAATGAGTGCGACAAAGTTCTTAGTGCCTGGAATATGTAAAGCAGAACTTCATTGCCACATCCACACTGACGAACTGCAGGCAATTGCTCCTTTATAAYACATTACAACGTTGTTATGCATTGCCACTTTATCAACAGCCTCTGTTTGTGCTTTAACTACCACACTGTCTCAGCACTAAATCTACTTGAAGGAACAAATAGTCCCTGAGGAAGATCTGTTACTCCATTTTTTGTGGCCAGTAAACTTGAATCTGTTGGTCTTTTTGTAAAAAGTCTTTCATGATTTGAAAAATGCAGCATGGAAGAATGGAAGAGAATACATTTCAAAATTATTCCTGTTATAATTTAAATGTCATSATATTGCACTGTTTACAGATGCCATAATCAAAATTTACTACTTTTTGCTAAGAATAATTTTGTAACTGGACATAAAATAGCTTAGAACACTAAGCCTTAGTAAATTTTGTAGTCCAGCCTCTAGTTTTAAGTGCTGATGTACTTGATGGCAGGAGTGTTGTAGTGAATGAGAACAGGATTTTTTTCAGAAGCAAGATAAAATGCCAAAGGTGAGATCAAGAAATTCTCCATCAGAAGAAGTATAATTTGCTTTTAGAAATGTTGCAGCTCTTTTCCTCAGTCTCTTTTTCCCAGATGTTCCTGTGTCTCAGTATTTAATTTCAGTGCAGGTCTCCCTCTTCTGCATTAATCTCTCATCTCTCCTCTGCAGTCTGGCTGTTCTGACTCACAAACAGCACCATACTGAGGCTGAAGTAGCATTTTTATAATAGACAAAAATACAGGTCCTCCATATGCTGAGTGATACCATGGAAACACAGTTTCCTACTTTCTTCCTGAAGGGCTAATAAAAAAACCACAGAGACGGGGGAAGGAAGGCCATATTTTATATTGAAGATATTCTAGGTTTGTTCAGCCATGAGATGAGTATGCTTTATGGGGGGTTCTTACTATCCTTCATGGACGTGGTGCTACAAAAGCACCTGGGGTGACAGAAACCAGACAAGCAGTAAACAGGCGGGAATACTTTGTCTTGAACCAGCCAGTGAACAGAAGCCTAGGAGTTATTTTGCAGTTTACAGAACTTACCATCTCTTTGTGATTAAGCTCGTGTACTGTCATAGTGTTACATTAAGGAAAAATGCAAAAAACTCCCAACTGGCCATGTTAATGTACTGACACAGAACATGTCTTGTTTCCTGCAGTGACCAGGTGGGTATATCCTCATGCAGGATGTCCCTCCTGTTTCCAAAGAGCAACTTTTCCAAAGTTAAACACATCTATGTAATCCATTCCAGGTGCTATTACAATCAGCATGGAAACAGCAAGTAGGAAAGGACATCTTACCAATGTGGTTTTGCTCATTCTGCTCATGGAGTCAAATTTTGTCTCATGTAACCTGTATTCACGTTCCAGTAGCAGGACATTACTTTGGGGAGAATTAAGGGAGAACTCAAATACCTCAAATATTCTCAGTTTTGATAGATGAGAATTAGACATTGCTAACTGTTGCATTTTATTATCCATTTTAATAGCATGAGATAGAACTATTAAATAAGTGTTGATTTTGGCTGAGTAGCTGTAAAGCTCATGGGTTGTTTTTTTGGGTTGTCTTTATTTTGGTTTGGGGTTTTTTTGCATCRGTTTATATTTAATCATTTGAATTTCCAAACAAAAGACTCTAGAGATTGTTGTCACAGATGCAGTGAGAGTGCTGTAACAATTAATTGTGTATAACTGTTGATGGCAGAACTCTGACATGCTTTACAATTGTAATACAGAATTCTCTGATTATTTGGATGCATGTGTTGGATCTGGAGGGTCTTGTCCATTAATGTAAAGTTCTTTCTTCTCTCTGCTTTCTGTATTTCAAAGAACACTACCTGGAAAACTTCAAAACGTGAAATATCTAAGTAAGTTTGGGTAATTTTACACACATTGTGCATTGTCTGCACCTTTGATGATTTTTTTAAGGCTGTGCCTTGGGCTGTATGGAAGGCAAAATTCTCCATGTTTTCCCATCACTTGAAGGTCAAAGTAGGCAGTGTCATTTAGAGGTAAATGCTCCTCCACTAAATCCAGCTATGAAGGATTTTGATTTGGTGCAATTCTTGTTATTTTACTGGAGAAAGAGTTCTGCCAAGACAAGTCAGAAAGGTGACACAGTTTGTGTGCTGAAGATCTGCTGTGCATGGAAATGCCAAAGCTTCACAACATGAGGAGGAGGAGGAGGCAGTTTSTTAGYAGTGAGCTRGTGAAGGAAATGCTGCTTTCATCCATAGGAAGTCCCAGCTCACCTGCCATTATTTAATGCTGGGCTAAAGATTGGGAAGATTTCCTCATTCCATTAAATTCAGTGACAGAATTGGTGTTATAAAATGAAATTAAGTTGCATTTTCAGCTCTAAGAAAGCTGAGCTTTGAAGAGGGAGGAAGGCAGTTGCATAAAGAATCACTGTCTCAAACCAAAACAATCACTTGTCATTMATGTTTTTATTTTTATTGGTTCAAAATTTGCTGTACAATCTTGCAAAACTTACTTGTTAATTATGAAAAGTCTATGCAGATGACAGTCAAATCTGGGGGTGGGAGGGAAGAAGAATTTCTTTATTCCTTCTTAGCATAAGGTGGAAGCAGCGTATTACGTGTACTCAGAAGAAAGACAATATAATTAAGTGAAAATATAGATTAGGACAGCCCACACTTGAAGTATAAAAAAGTAAGAGAAGTAATCTAACTTAGTATAGTTTTTTTACAAAGCCACAGTTCTTAACACAATTAGAAAGATACTGTGTATATTGAGATGCTGGAAGGACGTAGTACTGAATTGGCAAGAATTCTTTTTTTTTTCTCTAATGAGAATAGCAGCAAAATCCTTATAAATTTTTTTTGAAGATATGTTAACACACATATTAGAAGTTAGCTACTACTGTTTTCAAGCATTAGTAAATTTTAAACATGTTAGTGATGAAAGGATCTTTTTAATTTCTGCTACACTCAAGTGTGTGGACATTGTTTTTTATAGTATATTTTCTGAGAGGGTGGAAAAAACGTTGGAAAGCTGAAGACTCAAGATGTGACAGCATGTTCAGCATTTTGAATGATGAGTATAATTGTTGCCATAATTTGTACCTGTTCATGGCCACATCAACTGTTGAAAATAGAATGCAGCTGACACTTGCAGAARTAATTTTTTATCATACTATAATTTAGAAGTTAAATATCTAAATAAAATATTTTTGTTCCRTTTCGTTCATTGGGCTTTTCTTATGCTATTAAAAAGAAATGGTTTAAAAGTGCARTGATTTTATCCCTCACACTTTGAGTGCAGCTCCACACAACACAGAACCAGCCAGACCTGCTAACTGCTRTACCTGCCCTACAGCTGGGAGGGGAACAGTTGTTTTAGTGGGTCTGTATTACAGTCAAGCAACTCCAAGAAACTTTWAACTTCTAAAGCTTCTGTTTTGGACAGATTTAGTCTGATTTTATTTTACTTTTTAATTAAATTGTGTTAATGTGATTTTATGGAATTATTTTTCCTATATCTTYTCTGAAGGTCTAGCAGTACATGGTTGTTCTGTATGCCAAGTGAAACTTATCCACATCCATGAAACTCTAACAACCTGGACTGGATTCGTTTTGTCAAAGAGGGTGTGATAAATACTTAAGATTTATATGTGGGTTTTTTTCATCCAAGYGGATTTCAAAGCACTGTTCCAGTCAGTGAACCCTGCAAACTGTAATTTTAGGGTCAACCTTGAAACCACTCTGATTCCTTATGTTTCTCAGATAAAAGAAGGTAATCTAGTTATATAATGTTAGATATAAAAATGTATAATCRGTTTAATAGTTACAATAGTAAAAATGCATGCAAGAAGACATCAACATTTGGAGGATTTTCTTCATCAGGTAATTAAAAGACTTAAAGCTGTAACATCAAGGCTAATTTAAAAAAATCAATTTTTTTTCCAGCCTCTCCAAGTAGGGTCCCAGGCTTTGACAATAGATGGAAGATTGAACTAGTGTGAGTGAGTGTATGGAATGCTGTCCTGTGTGGCTGCTGATTTAGTTGGCATTCTAACTATTTAGTAGCTATGGGTGTGCAAAAAGATCTGCTTGAAGAGAGGCAAGTCTTGTTGATTATATGAGTCAGGTAAGTTTATTTCATGGTAGTCCATCARTTTGGCATTTTTTCTCCACAGGGTRAGTTTCTATCTGTGGTTTCACGTAATTCTATACTCTAACCCATCTGCTTCCTGTGCAGATTCTGTATTAACCCTTTAAATCACCATCAAATTGTTCACACAACTTGCTCTGAATTTCTGTAATAGCCAGTAAGGTTTATGATGAGATTTTATTCGACCTAAAATACTTCGCCCTTGATAATCAGAATACATTTTCCTAGGAATACAACATTTCTTACAATATTTCTTTAATATTGCATTTTTTAATAGCCATAAAACTCTAAATTATACTGAGGGCTTGGGAAACTAATACCATGTTTTTTCCGTTTTAGACTAAATTAACTTTTGGAGGCTTCCCTTTATTGGAAAATTGACTGTTTCCAATAAATGCAAACCAAGAATTCTTCATTACCTTTGATAGTACAGTAAAAATACAGATCAAACCTAAAAAGAGAAGTCAACTTTTTAATGGATAAAAAAAAAAAAGTATTTCTAACCCAATTACAGAGGATTAAACTTGACAAATTGGATGCCTTGCATAGCAAAAGTGAAAATTAAACACTTGGAGAATGGGCTTGTTTATTTTTTGTTTACATAATTACCCWACTAAACTGTGTTTTATAGAAAAAAAAATTGCCAGCAGGATTCTACATTGAGGAAACCAGGACCAGGAATATTTTTAGGGCAGCCAGCTACTGTCTRGTGAAAATAATTTACAGTGCAAGTTGTAGAACTATAATCGCGATATAAAAATCTTTTTTGGCAACATTCTTTCAGCCTTTCCAGAAGGCAGTGGTCACACCCTTTTTAGTAATGCTTTATTTCTCAGGTGATTCAACCAATCTCAATGGGTCTGGTTATGAAATCAGACACTAATGATGGGAGTGGGACATAGATCAGGGCAGCTGTTTGATGTGTCACATGGCAGGATTTTTTTCTTCACAAGTGCACAGCTGGTCAAATAAAGGCCACAAGCAAGTGTTCTTGTCCTCATGTTACATGAGAACTGGATGGGAAGTWGATAAGATACAGGAAATAGATCCACTTGGGAGCAGAGGTGGGCTGGTGTCAGCTGAAGGCAGACCACAGGGGTTCATGTCTCGGTCATGAGCCATCGTGTTGATTCTTTCAGCAGTCTGTGCTAATTCTTTCAGATTTGTTATTGGTATTTGGTTAGATGATTGGTACAGCTTTGGCGTTTTGCACTAACTTGTGTGATGGAACCACAGGGCAATGGTTCATGTCCCAGAGTTCTGTGGCACCATTGCAGCAAATCGTCTGCTAATGGAGCACAGTGGGAAACAGAGTGGCACAGCAAGAATCGCAGGAGAAGGAAGAGAAAAATTTGGGGCAGGTGTTAAGCAATGTTTATTTCCTTACAGCACTCCACGGGGATCTCWGAAGTGTGAGGTACCTTGGGGCAGACTCTGCAGGGGCCTGTTTCAGCCCCGTGGCACTCCTTGGTGCTCCTCTGGAAGTGCATTGCTTGATGAGAACTTAGTTTGCAAGAATGACTCCTTTATAATTTCGATGAAAATCTGCAGTGATTTCATTGCTGTCAGTTACATCATACTTATTTCAAAATAATTAAAAGTGAGAATAGAATTGGACCTACTTGTCTTTAGCAATGTCTAATAGAGGGGATGTACCCGTAAAAGCTGTGAGTCACCAACAGAAAGGAAACTGTCTGCTCTCTGTTATAGTTCTTGCAAACATGCCAAGGTGTGTTTAGGTGTTAGGAAGGAAGTCACCATCTCTTTGCTGAGCAGTTGGACAATGCTCAGCTACTAAGGGTGGAGTGGGAATAATGGTGACACTGAATCAGGAAAACAGGWCAGCATTTGTGTTCCTGAACTTCACCCTCTTTGCTTAGACTGCCTTCAAACCTGAGAAATGCCAGTACATTATTTGAATTTTCATGTTTTTACCCGTCAATTGGCTTCCTAAACATTTTTTTAAAAAATATATCAGTCAGATATCACTGTGTTTTTGAGATAAAGTTTGGACTGAAGTAGTAATACATTTAACAATTGAATTTTATATTTTGCACACTAAAAAAAAAATAAAAATCCATGCTTGTTACAATTTTAAAATGCTGAACAAACAACAATCTTAAATTGCATTGTATTATTTATCATCTTTGAACCCAGGAAATACAAATGAGTAATTACTGAAAAGTGTTCAGTCTCCCTGGACAATGCTTTTAATTGATGTGGTTGAGCAGCTTCCACTTTGTCATGTAATTATAAATATTACATCAACTAATTGTTTACTCCCTGTGTGCATAAATAAGTGGAAATTTTGTGGACACATAAAATACTCCAGAAGTTAAAGGTCTCTAAACAGACCATCTTCTCCTATTTCCTGATAATGAATATCAAATTAAACTTTAAAACAGAGGCCTAGAACTGTCACTTTCTGTGACAGACATGGTAAGTCCTGGATGAAAAATGGACAAGCACTTACAGCCCATGCATTTCTGCTTTTGTTACAGGCACTGCCAAAGCAGGGGGTGTGATGTCTGTTTTACACTTTTCTTGGCTGCAGCTATGAAAAAGGCTCAATGTTTCAGGAACCCATCAGAAATTATCAGACCTGAGCAACCTTACAGATTTCTCCATTCTGCTAATTATATCAATGCTGCTGGGAGCCCAGGTTTTGCCCATAACCTGGTGTTGATTAAAACACAAATCCCTGACTTTGCCATAGGGCAAGAGATGTACCAGGTCTCCACACACCTGTATAATTTATGTGAATTGGTACTTTAAGAGCAGAAAAAAGACCCAGCTGTAAACTACTATGTAAAACTACTGTGGCATCTTGACTCTTACTCCGTTGAATTGTCCCTAGTTTAAAAAGAATTCACTTTAAGAACCAGTTTTTAAAAATATTATTTAAATTCCAGAATGTTTTAATACAGTATGGAGTTTTGAGATTCCTTTAGTATTCCAAAGTGAAGCAATTACATAGAATTAGAGATTATTACTTAAAGCAAGGTCTGATGTCCACATGTCTGTCTATATCACGCTTCTGATCTCAGCAGYTAGAACCAACTGAGAGATGAAATCTCATTGCAAGATGTTGGTTTAGGAAGCAAGGCCAAGCCATAGTTAATTATTAGTTATTCTACTGTAAAGTGTTTCTGGTGTTTGGGCTACAAAATGTGGTGAGCTTTATTATTGTTTTTCCATTGGCTGTTTTATGTGGGCAGTGCTACTACTGCAGGAGACCTACCACCTACATTTAATTTGAATTTGTTTAAAGTGATGTAATACTTAGTTATTATTATACTTCAGTTACAGAAAGTAAGATTATCTTTACCAGGCACAGTACAAAGATACCATAAAGAGTCCCTCATCCAAAGTCCTCATCATCTACATGCTTCCATCTTCACATCTCTATATTTTTCCTGGTCAATAGGACTTTTGAGTGTATTTCCTTACTACTACTTTTGTCYGAAACACACATGCTTCTCACCATCTGTACATTCATTAATATTTTCTCCAAGTTCTTAAGCTAATGGGACCTACTCCTGGTTGCTTGTTGTTAATGTCGTTTGAGATTCCCAGCGTGGCGCGATGCTATTTGCCTTTCTTTGGTCGGTCTGCCCCGTTAGCCGTTCTCAGCCCCGGCCGGGAGGCGAGGGATGGGGGAAGGCCGGTGCAGGGCAGCCCGGAGCCCCGGCAGAGGCAGAGGCAGGGGCCGGCCGGCGCTGCGGAGACAGCTGCTGTGAGCCCGAGCGRCCGCTCCTCGCCGGGATGAGCAGCGTAGAACGAACCCGGAGCGGAAGGGAAGCACAGAACACACAACCGAGGCGCAGATGGGAGCCGGGAAAGGGGAGCCGGAGCGGGAAGGGCGGAGAGCCGGGCGGAGAGCCGGGCGGGGCCGGTGGAGAGGGGCGGGCGGTGGGGCCAGGCGAGCACACACAGACAAACGTTCCTTCCCTCCGCCTGCCCTGACAGCCGCCCGGAGCCCCGGGATTGCCGCCGCCGCCGGCTCCCCCTGCACACCCTCCGCCGCCCTTYCTCGCTG